GCACCTGTGTGTGGCACCACCCAGGTTTGTCCCTGCAAACAACTCAGTGTGTGGTGACCCCTGAGGAGAACAAGTCCATCCCTCCACTTTCACTCCCCTGCCCTGGGTGAAGTCCTCATTCCACAGATTCCCTCAAGGCCGGATTGTATCTGAATGAAAATAAGCAGAGAAGAAGGAGCAAAATGTTTTTTTTTTTGCTTTTTCTGACTCAGCCCCATGCCTGTCACCTCTGCTTCAGGAGAGGTGGTGACAATTACCCCAGCCAGCAGAGCTGGGAAAGGTTCCAGGGCTGGGTCATGGTGTCTTTGAGTGATTCACGTGGGGAACCACTGGCAGAGGTGAGCAGGTGCCTTTAAATTTCAGTATTCCAGGCATAGAGGTTATTCCAGTGTCAGGGGTGAACTTGTCTGGTGTAAAAAATTCTGGGAAAGGCACATTATAAGAGCTTTTTTATTGAGTTGATGTCTTTTAAGGTGATGTCTCCATAAAACATGGATGAGAAATCAGAGAAGCCATAGAGGGAGGAGGGTTGGGGTTGCAAGAGAATCTGAGAATCAAGAGCACCATCAGATGAGTCAGAGAAGTTTTACAAAGAGTCCTGAAGAGGAGTTTGGAAAGGCATTAAGAGAGCTCAGGATAAGGTGAGAAATGAGGGATCAAGGGATCTCTGGCACACGGAGCTGTCAAGGGGAAGGATGGGAGTGGGATTAGTCAAAATGCCATGGGATGAACTTGGCTTGTCCTGCAGGAGAGGCAGCTACAATGCATTGAGGGAAGTTCTGCAAAGGGCAGGAATTTGGGTTGGTTTTAGCAGTAATGATGCCTTAGGATTTAAGCTTTTATATTTTTCATGTATTTATAATCCTGTAATTCTTTAGTGTATAACTCTGAAGTTCATACACAGTGTTAGCTACTGTCTTCCCATTTTGGTCAGACAAAACAATTCCTCTCCAGGCCTGGGAATCAAGGACACCTCACTTTCTCAGGGGGAAGCAAACTTGGGGTAAATTACTTCATTACCTGAAACTGTAATTGGAAGATTAACCTCCAATATGCAAATGAACCAAACTAATAAAAGTATAAAAACCTGTGACCCGTTGTCCATTTTTTTGGGGGTAGCCCCTGGGTGTGCTTTGTCTGCCTAAAATACACCTGAAGGCCCTTCAATAAATACAACTGCTTTTAATTCTCTTAATTTTGTCTGGCCTCTGCTTTTAGGTAGCCCTGAAAAGGCATCAGTTTAGTAAGAGGCAGAGGAGAGCTAACTCTTCTCTATTCTATTTGTCCCAAAACCACCTTCATTGCACAGCAGCATGTGCATGAATCAGAGCAGGAGTGTGCCTGGGCAGCATGGGCCTTCCCCAGCTGACTCTGTGAGATCATTTTTAGCCTCAGTGTCTCCCCTGACCCGTTAAAGTCACTATCTGAGCATCTCTCCATGTGTTGGGCCTGATAACATCTGTACAAGGCAGAGGAATGGAAATGCTGTGGAACTTGCCCCAGGCCATAAAGGAAATGTGGAGCACAGCAAGGAACTGCTGGTCCCTAAATCCAGCTCATCCAGCCTCTCTGCCAGTGGTTTCTCCAGTGCTTTAAATCCAGTTTTTAATCAGCTGCTGCAAATTGGGTTGATTTCAGAGGAACTCAGTGGGAGTTTTCAGGCTGGTAAAGGCACTGGAAGTAAATTCTAATGTGCTGTAGGAAACACTGGTTGGCCTAATCCATAGGGATGATGAATAATGTTTAATTGTACCAGGATTAAAGAGAACCATGAAGCCTTAGAATCATGGAATGGTTTTATTTGGAAGTAACCTTCAAGGTTATCTTGTGAGCAAGGACAACTTCCACTAGACCAGATTGCTCCAAGCCCCATCCAACCTGGCCTGGGACACTTGAATTTTTTAAAGACCTTGTCCTCAACTTTAGGCCTTTTGAGAAGCATGGAGAGGACGGAAGAATTGATAAAACTGTTCAAGAAGCAACTTCCTTGGGCAAAATTCACCCAGCCTTGTTTTCCAGATGAATATCGTGCTTGTGTGTCCTGCAGCAGCTCTCAGGATGTTTTATCAGCACCCAAAATGTGAATTATCACAGATTTCTGCACCAACAAAGCACGTTGGTAACAGAGGGTGCAGGGCAGAGCAGAAGGACCTGACCCAGAGCCTTGTTGAGATTTGTGATGATTTTAGAGCAGGAGGGGGAACCAACCCTTCTGCCAACACACAGTCCCAACCCTTGGGAAAACATCCCATCCTCTTCCTGGTCCTGCCCTGGCCCAGCCCAGGTTCTGATCCACGGCTGAGTCATTTATTTGCCCCAGTTCGCCACCTCCTTGCCCTTCCCGGAATTCAGAGGGTTGTTTTTGAGGCTGCTCTGTTGGTGACCTGGATGGAGAGTGAGGTTTGGGGTCATTCCATGTGCTCTGCCAGGTGCCATCATTTCCACAGGGAGTTCCTGCTCAGTTCTTTATTGTGTCTGTCCCAATCCCTTCTCTAAACCATCTCATCACCAAATCACAGAATCCCAGAATATCTTGGGCTGGAACCCCCGCACCATGGACAGGGACACCTTCCTCTAGACCAGGTTGCTCCAAACCCCATCCAGCCTGGCCTTGGACACTTCCAGGGATGGGGCAGCCACATCTCCTCTAGGAAAACCTGTGTCAGGGCCTCACCACTCTCCCAGGGAACAATTCCTTCCCAAAATCCCATTTAATCCTGTCCTCTGGCAGTGGGAAGCCATTCCCTGTGTCCTGTCCCTCCATCCCTTGTCCAAAGTCCCTCTCCAGCTCTCCTGGAGCATCTTTACCACTGAAAGCTCTCCCCAGAGCCTTCTCTTCTTCAGGCTGAGCAACCCCAACTCTCTCTGCCTCTCCTTACAGGAGAAGTGCTCCATGCCATCCTGCCCATGAACTTCCAGATACATCCACAGAGAGGATTTATCTCTAGCTAAATCCAGATGAGAATCACTCAGTGGTCAATCCTGGACTCTTTCAGAGCAGAAATTGGGAGAAGAAATAATCCCTTGAGCCTCTGGGTGTTTAGACACTGGGTCTCAACCACCAGAGCTTGGAAAAGCCACCTCTTGGCTCTGGGAAGAAGCTCCTCAATTACTCAATGCTCAAGGAAGTAGATGGCATTGCCATGGGGCCAACACGTTAAACTAGAAGTGAACAGCCCCCATTTACACTCCCCTATCTTATTTTTGGGGACAGATTCCCAAAATTCCCTTTCCTGGAAATGTTCAAGTCTAGGTTGGATGGGGATCTGAGCAACCTGACCTAGTGGAAGATTTCTCTGCCCATGGCAGGGCAGTGGAATGAGAGGATCTTCAAGGTCCCTTCCAACCCAAACCATTCCATGATTTTATGAATGTGTTTGACCGCTCCAGAAGCTGGAAGAGGCTGTTTCACCCAGCATCCTTGAGGGCTCTAATTGCTCTGGTGCCACCATGCCTTGGCCACTTCAATTCCCAGGCTCCAGAAAAGACCATTGTAGCCAAATTCCTTGCTGGGAATGGCCTCGGATGTGGACACGCCTGGGAATTGTTTCAGAAAGTGGGCACAGGGCATTAAGGTGTCAGGGACATCCCTGCAATGCAAGGAGAGGATTCCCTGGAATGGAGAGTTCATGGGGTTGGGCACCCATGCAGAGAACATCCTGACCCCTTTTCAGAGATATGACTCAGGAGGTTTGGAAAAGCCAGAATAAATCATTCCCATTGTCCCATATCCTCCCTTCACTGATAACCAGATTGGATTCCTATAAACAAGGTGGCTCATTCTTGATTTCCTCTGGGGAAACCCCTTCCCATCTTCCTCCAATTAGCAGCTTCCTTACAATTAGCCTTGCATCCCAAGGATTTACATACTTTTCTCTTTCACAACAGCAGATGCTGTCATTATCTCCTGACCTCCCTTTGACTTCACCCCAAATGGGATTTTGACCCTTGTCCCATGGCTGTGGATCCTCCATGTGACTCTTCTCCACCAGGGAAATTATTCCTTGTTATTTCAGCCAGTGGGTCTTCACATCCTGGGCAGCTCCAAGAGTTTTAAGGTGGAAGAGAGGAATTTGGGGTTCTTGGCCAATCTCCTTCCCTTTTAATCCTTACTCACTGCTGTCCTGACTTCACAGCTCCTTAAATCCTGTTCTCCCACCCAGGGCTCTCCAAAATTCACTCTCCATGTTTTCCCCCTGGATTTTTACCAGATCTCTTCACGTGGGTGTAGCTTAGAAAACCCACCCCAGAGTTTCTCTCAGGCCTCCTTGTTACGGTGCTTTTTCTGCTGCCTTTGCCAAAGGATCTCCCAATGCAAGGTGGGGACATCCAAGATTATATCCCTAAAATAAAACAGCTGGAGAAGGCAGGACATAACTTTAAATCTATAGCTGTAGAGAGAGGCTATAACTGTATATGAGAGATGTAAAAGTTATAGAGTCTGCCTTGCATTTAAACACCTCACGGGTGTTGTTGAATATCAAACCATTGGCCCTGGAACGCTGATCCAGCCAGTCCAAAACCTTCTGCAGAGCCTTCCTGCCCTCCCCCAGATCAACATCCCATCTATGGATGACCAAAAGTCATCCATGAACTTCCCAAGGGTGGTCTTGACGTCCTCATCCAGATCATCAATAAATGTATTGGACTGACACTAATACTGATCCCAGGAAATCCCTGATGCTGGTGACCAGTCACCAGCTGGATGTGGCACCATTCCCCACCACTCTGTGCCTGGGACCCAGCCAGTTTTTAACCCAGCCAAGAGTTCATATTCCCAAGCCCAGGGCTGCCAATTTTTCCAGGAGAATGTCATGGGAAGTAGCATCAAAGGTGAACTCCAGGGAGACACATTTCTCTCATTCTCTGGGGAGGTTGCCTGGTTATAAAAGGGACTTCAGGGCTCAGCAGTGACCTGGGCCAGACATAAAACACCCACCAGCAGCTCTGCTGTGGGCAGAAATAGGTGACTGAGTGATAGACACGTGACACGCTCACAGTTGGTGGAGAAATAACTTTATTTTAGGTGTTTTGCAGTTAACACGAGCACACATTTCCTTATCAGGGTAGCACTCGAGCTTTGCAATAAGACAAAAGCAGAAGCCGTCATACGGCAAAGAGCTGCCATCAGCTCCAACCCACCCCGCTGCTCCTGGTTACTATTCCTGTTATTAGAAGGGTGCTCCAAGACTTCCTGTGGTCATGGGAGGCATCTTTGCTCCTCAGAATTTGTTGCTGAGGATGGTCCAGAGCACTCCGGCCGCGACGCCTCCGGCCAGCCCGTAGCTGGACCTCACGGTGCCCGCGGCGTTGAGGTTGCAGAGGTCACTGCTGCAGCAGGAGATGTTCCTGTTGCCCACGTTGAAGTCCTGGTAGGATGCCTCACACGAGGAGTCACATCCCTTGCTGATGAGGCTGAAGAGCCCCACAACCCCTGGGAGGAAAGCAGGGCCGTTATTGCAAGGATTCAGCACAAGCCAAGCCTGGTGGGACTGAATAGCGGGATGCTGTTCTTAACTGAGCTCGTTCCGTGGGACGAAAATTGGAATCACAGAATGGTTTGGGTTGGAAGGGACATTCAAAATCATCTTCTGGGCAGGGAGACCTTCCCCTAGGCCAGGTTGTTCCAACCACATCCAACCTGGCCTTGGACAATTCCAGGGATGGGGCAGCCACAGATTCTTTGGACCTCACCACCCTCCAAGCGAGGAATTTCCTCTTAATATCCCATCTAACCCTGCCTGCCCTCTCTCATGTGGAGCCCAATCCCAAACATCTTTGTTGCATGGAGCCTTTCAATCCCCAGGAAATTATGGAAACACAGCCATTCTCATTTCAGATGGCACAGTTATTGTTTGATTTGTTTCTGAGAGGCACAGCCCATTTTTTGGGCTGTTTTTAGCAACTTTTGGCAAACTTCTTTTTTTTTTTTATTTTGATCAAAAAGCAGATTTTGACCCCCAGGAGATTTGATCCATTCCCCTCCAGGAGACCTAAAATCCATTCTGGGCACCAAATCTTTGCCACGTGCAATAAATAACAAAGAGTTCTACAAAATCTTGTCTCTCCTGCATGTGAATGTCATGGATTTGCACATTCCCAACTGGGATAATTTCTACTGGAGGTATCACATCTACAGCCTGACAGAGAGGAGCTTAAATGTGGCACTGATGGGTTTTGTGCCCCAGGTCTAAGAGCAACTCAGCTGTCGGCACAGATCTGGACAGGGCAAACCAGGTCTAGAACAGGAGGATAAAATCCTTGTTTTTCAAGTTTCCCCACAGACAGAGATGAAATTTTGTCATTTTCATTGATTTCACCTCAGATCAACACCTCCTACCTTCACAACCAGGTTGGACCAGGCTGAGCCCCTCCCATTTTAATTCATGCTTGCAAATATTGCAAAAAAATTAACCATTGCCCTTGCAAGCAAATAATTTTTTGGTGCTGTGAAAGAGAAACAAACTTAATTTTGAGCAGGTGAAAGACATTTGCACACTGAGGTTTGCTGGCCCAAACCACCTGGTGGATCCAGATTGGACACCTGAGGCTGGGAAGATGTTTGGCTCCAACATCCCAGCTAAGGCATTTCCCACCCCTGCTTTTCCTTACGGATCACTTCTGTCTTGCACATGTTGTTCTCGCCACAGTCCTTCTTTGTCATGCACTTGGAGTTGCTGAGCTGGGATGAGCAGCTGTAACACTGCAAAGATGAACCTGCAAGAGACCAGGAGGGGTTGAAAGAGAAATCAGGGAATAATGGAATGGGTTGGGTTGGAAGGGACTTTAAAATCATCAAGTTCCACCCCTCTGCTGTGAGAAGGGACAACTTCCAGTTGACCAGGTTGCTCCAAACCACATCCAACCTGGCCTTGGGTTCTTCCAGGGATGGGGAAACCACAGCTTCCCTGGGCAGCCTGATCTCTTTTTTTACCACTCTCATTATAAAAAAGTCTTAATTATAGTTAACCCATATTTTTTCGTCTTAAAACATTACCTTTCATGTTATCCCAACAAGACCTCCTAAAAATGTATCCCCAACTCTCCTGGAGCCTCTTTAGGCACTGAAAGGGGCTCTGAGGTCTCCTCAGGGTTTTCTCTTCTCCAGAGTGAACAGCCCCAGCTCTGCCAGCTCCAGAGGAGAGAGGCTCCAGCCCTTGGAGCATGGAGACCTTCATGGACTCCTCTGGATTTGCTCCAGCTGGACCCCAGAACCAGACCCAGCCCTGCAGGTGGGGAACAATTCTACACCTCTCATTTATCTTCAGTCTATCCAAAAGTCTCCAGAAAATTCAACCAAGTGCTTGCACTGGGAAACAGGACCATTCCTGGGGATCCTCAAAGGAAGATATCTCCTCTGCTTTGGGAAAAAAAAAGTGTTTTATCCTCTTTTTTTTTTGTGGCTAATAATATACCTGGTTGAGGTGGGAGTCAGGTTTGGCAGGTGCTGAATAGATTTTGGGTGTAGTGAGTGCAGTGAGGGAGCAAAAAGAGAGCAGATGGACAGCTGGGCTTGACGAGGATCATGGAATGGTTTCGGCTGGAAGGATCATTTCATCAGGGACACATCCCTCCAGACCAGGTTGCTCCAAGCCCCTTTGACCTGGCCTTGAGTGAGGGATGAAGAAGGAATTTGCAAAGTCCCTTCCAGCCCCTTGTCTCAGCTCTTAACTTTTGACTTGCCCTTTCTAGAAATCGAAATGCAAATTTCACCCCTCTCTGACCACCAGGTCGTCCCCTGTTCTCAGCCCTCATGGAAATGCCACTCCAGAGGGGATGGAAATCAGTGCTGGGCTGATCTGTGCAATCAGAAAAGGCAGGAAAAACCTGGCAACTCCCAAGAGTCCAGCCCTGGTGAAAAATTATCCCTAGAGGAGTGAGATTGTGGTGTAATTATCTGTGTCCTGTCACCTACCTGTGCCCCAGGGTGTCACTGGAGCCTTGCAACTCTCAGTTTAAATATATATATATATATTTATATATATTTCCTTGAGCCCCATGGCCACCAAACTTGCATCACAAATCCTTCAACTCCATATCCTAATGCCTGAAATACACTTTTAGGACACTGAAAAGCCCTGCTTAGAAATTAGTGATTGAAGGAATTAATCTGAGGCGCTTGGTCTCCCTCTGTCCAAGCCTCTCTGGTGTAAATGACTGATGCAGTCACAGAGGTGAGGAGACAACCCCCAATTTGTCTGAGTGCTGCACTCTGTTCTCACATTGATCTGACTTTTAAAGCAATAAAAGTCAAATTTTGAGTGTTCTGATGGAAGCTGGCAGAGAGAAAGGTCTGAGGGCTGTGCAAGACCCTTGACAGTTTATTATTTAAGCATCCTCTGCTGATTGAGAAACTGCTCAAATTTGATTCTTCTCTTTCTGGTAGTAGGGAAAAGCTGCTTTAAAACCTTTTTTTTCTCAGTGAGGCTATAAAAACCTGACATTGTCTAAACCCCACCCACTCAGTCTATAAAATAACACATCATGGTATTGTTATTTTTAATGTCCTGCTAAAATTCTATAAATCTGGGCAACGTCAGGGTCTGGTTTTGAAAGGAAGAGTCGGAAAAAAAGTTGGAGGAAAACTTTGCATAAATTTTGATAGCCCGAGAAGAAGGAAAACAATCCTCTCACCTCGCTTATCCCCTCCCTTCCCCCTTAACTGTATGGTCTGGCTTTAAAAAACCCTTGGATTTTGATTAATTCAGGATTTACCTTTCCTGGAAGCTGCTCCCCCCAGCACTCAGATCCCACCACCCCCGGGGTGACCCTGTGCATTCTTCCCACTCAACACCCATCCAAAGGGAAACACCTTGGGGTGACAACCTGCCAGCATCTCCTCCCTCCTTGCCGAACCCCATCACCAACCCTTCCTTCCTTGAAAACCTGCGGGGAGGGAATGCAGGGTGGGACCCTCGGTGGGATCTTACCTGGGTCCACGCACAGCAGAGCTCCCAGCAGGAGCACAAGGAAAGCTTTCATCTTGGAATAAGCTCTCTGGGGCTGCCTCTGTGGGGTTGTTTCCTCCTGGGGCAGGTTATATATCCCGGGATGCCGGGCGTGCCCACGGGGTCATCCCTGAGAAGGCACCTGAGGCAGCTGCTGGCAGGACCAAGGGAGGGGTTGGTGCTTTGTGTGTCGGGATATTTGTGTTCCGTGCCTCTCCTCTCTCCCTGCCACTCTCTGGGCTCCTCTCCACTGCTGCCACCCCCTCCTTCCCTCCTACCCTTGGGCAAAGTGCTCACAGGAGTGGAAAAAGCCCCAAATTCTTCCCAACAAGGCTGGCCTTATGCATTTCTTCATGGCCACTGAGGTTTAGTGGCACCCTGTGAGCGAGGCTCTCCACCCCCGGTGCCACCCTGAGTGGAGCCTTTGTGTTTAAATCGAGGACAAAATGTTCTTTGAATCAACAGCCCCGGGTATTTATCTGCCTGTGTGAGTGATACTCGTGATAACAAGGTATGTGGTAGGGAGGTATGTGGGCAAATTAAAGGTGCATTGACCATTCCAGGTATTGAGGAGTTTATTCGCCCTCATTTGCATTTATTTTCTGTTAAAAAGCAATGGCCAGCTCTTATTTTTGAGGTTTGAAACCCAAGGGACTTCCTGCTGGATTTATTTGGTGTTTTGAGATGTTTCATCTCTGGCTTGGTTCTCTTTTGTGTGCTCTTGTCTGGCACAAGCTGGGTACAGGTTTGGACACTTGGCTTACAGCAGATGCAATGTCAACAACCCAAGCTTGCCCAAAAAATGCCACTACTCTGTCACAGACAGGGTGAGTTCAGCCACATTCCAGCCCCAAGTGTGAATGTTTGCTCTCGTGGGTTGAGCAGAGACCTCTCCCATTCCTCACATCCTGTGACCACTTAGAAGGAAATGCCAGGGCAAAAGAAAACAGGGCTTTTTTTTTGTTAAATTCAACTTTTAATTATTTTTTCCCCCCCTGGGATCTTGGGATTAGCGCTGTGAATTTCTTTCCTTCAGGGATTTAGTCCCATGCAGTTTAGCTCTCAGGAACTTTTCCAGATTAAAAGGAAGGTGTGCAGGTGGATCATTTATCAGTGGCTGTGTGATGAAGGGTAGAGACTAAAACTCCTGCCCTGACTTAGGCCAGAGGAGAATCTGTTGCAAGAGAAGATTTGACAAATCCTAATTCCTCCATGGAGATCTTAACCACTTTGACTTTCACTCTTCTGTGTAAAAAATACCTAAAAAACCATCCCAACACCTTCTTTCTGTGTCTATTGGCTCCTGCCTCATAATATTTTTACAGACCATATAATTTACATGTTATGGATTAAAGGAAACAATTTATTTTTTCAGGCTCTGGAGTTCCTCATTCAGAAGTATTTGAGGTTTGTGTTTTTAATCCCCTGGGACTTTCCCTGTAGGGTTTGGCTTTTTGTGATAAGGAAGAACAGGGCCAAGGGGGAAAAAACCCACTCCCTATCAAATCCACCAAGGCCTGGAATTAAATATTTCCTAAAAAAAGCATTAATAAGGAAGAAAAAAGTCTGTCTTTCCCAGTACCATTATTTTTATTCTTTTTCTAACATCAGCCAGAAAAACTCAAAACTTGTGGTGCTGTGAAAGAATCTGAGAGCTTCTCCATCCCCCAGTCCTGCTTGCCTGAGGCTATGTGAGACCCCAGGAATTCCTGTATTCTTACATAAATTGTTGATTTTCACTGTTTTTTAGTACACTGAAGTGCAATTCCTGCCCAACTCCTGAAGATGGCAAACGTAGCCCGTTATAATTCCACATGCATTAACACACAGTTATCCATAGCACTGGGTGTACGAGGTGTTGTTTTCTTTTCCTGAGGTTATAAAATTCCCAGTTCATCTGCCTGCATGGAAAAGAACATAAATTCCCTCTGGAAATCTCATGATGTCTGCAAATCCCTAGGATTTTTTTTTTTTTTTTAAACACTGTTTTTGCTGCCACTCCAGATTCCTGATAGAGACAGGTCTGGAGCTCTCTGTTCAGGAAGGGAGAAGAGGAGCTGATTATTTGCTCTGTCCTGGTTCTGGATTATTTGCTCCTGCTTGGTATCAGGCTGGGAAAATGGTGATGGATCATGGTGCAGACTGTGGCCATGGATCACATCGAGGAACAGCCATGAGCTGGAAATTTGGGGAAAAAATAGGAGAAAAGATTCCTGGAAAATCTGGACAGAGAGACATCAAAAAGAAGTTTCTCCAATTTCCTGGTCATCTGTAGGGAAGCTTGTAGGATGACAGGGATCTTAGAATCACAGGATCATGGAATTATTTCGGTTGGAGGGGTCTTCAAGATGATCTCATTCCACACCCCTGCCATGGGGTCTAAGCCCTGTCCAACCTGGCCTTGGACACTTCCAGGGATGGGGCAGCCACAGCTTCTCTGAGCACTGAGTTGTTTTCTCAGCATGGTCGTGCCTGTAATTCCTTTCCAGGATGTTCTGAAATCCCTGTGTGTGGTTCATATGGGCTCCAGAGGGAATTTTATTGCCTTTTCCACTCCTGGATGGTGTTAATGGAGAGCTGATGCTGCCTGAAGTGTTGCCTGCAAATCTACTCAGGTTGTGGGGCTGTGGGATGTTAGAGAAGGGATTTTAGGGATTTTTAGGCATCCAAATGGGAATTTCTAATGGCTATTGTTGGGAACACAGCCTCAGGAGTATTCAGCTGTCCCAAATCAGAATAGGAGGGGAATAAATGAGTCAGCAGGTGGGAGTGAGGTAAATCCCATTACAGACTTTCCTGCAAGGAGGGAAGCGTGGATCCCAAATGAGGCGTGGAACTGGGTAGGCAGGATAACAGATGGATTGATAAGGGGAGAGAAAGATTTCAAAAGGAGGAGATGTAGA